GATAGTGTATGGATGCGAAAGAAAGCATAAAGGCCAAATAGGAGCGCGGCTCTGGCCAACTGCCAAGTGAATGGACAGCGGCCCCGACAAACTCTCTGCCGGGGTTTAAATAAGGGCGCTGACCAGCATCAGGTGCGCTGAAGGCACGCCCCCAATCTAGAATCAAAATCAAACACAAACAAAACAACGCAGTCCTAACATACAGTGAAAATTTCCTTGCACAGTTAAACAAAATTTGGGAAATATTAAAAAAGGGAAAAAAAAATCAAAAGGGGGTTAATAATTCTGACTTCAACTGTATATATGTATGTATATATATACATACATATATACATATATAACACATACACACATTTATGGTTAGGGTTATAAGGATTATTTCTTAATCCCCCTTTTATGTTGGCAAAAACATAAGTTTACTTCAGATATTTCTTTCAAAACAATATTCTGTGCCGCAAAAGAGCCTTCTCCTCACTTGTGATAATGACAATGAAAGCCAAGCTTTTGGTCTATGCTGTACCAAAAAATAAATAAAATCACCCAGGTGATGACAACTAAATATTACGATTATAACATTGTGTTAGTGGCCAGTGGGGTGGAACAACGTCATTGGTCAGAATTAACCACGTGATGAAGACGTCCTATAATATTGTATTTAATGCGATTTTCTTCCTGTAAACTGTATATATAACTATATAACTATAACTATATATATAATGCTGCAAATTACTGTAAATTGACTGTACTCTATATTAACTGCAAAAATTATAAGACTGATTAAGTAAAAGACAAATTAACTAAATGCATGTGCTATTGTTTCATTAGTATTTTAATGTAATATTTTTCTTCATATGATATTTATTATAATGTAATTTTGTTCAGATTATAATATATACTATAAATACTAACTATACTATAGTGATCTGCATTAAACAACCTGAACAAATCAGTCCTCTCTCTCTCTCTCTCTCTCTCTCGATTTGATCAAAAATGTAAATGAGGCCTTCCGATTAACAGTCCAGTGGACCCTAGCAACAGCCTAGAAACCACTCAGAACACCCTAGCAACTACCTAGGAATGCCTTAGCTACACCTTAGCAACCGCCTAGCAACCACTTCTCAACCGCTGTGCTTCCTGCCAACTGCCTTTGAGTCCCCGGCGCAGTCACGTTGGCTTTCTCAAGCCAACATCAAAGTTCGTCAACGAACTTTAGGTTCTAGTTCTAATTTTTAATCATGTTTAGGTTTTTCATATTCGATTTCACGCTGTTTTACCAACTCCTCTGCCTTTAATCTCGCCAATTCAACCTCCTTTTCTTTTAGTTCTCGCTCGCGCTCCGTTGCCTGCTTGTACATTTCTTTTTCATGAGCCTGTCTCAACTCTAATAATTCTTTTCGCTGTTCAAACAATAAATTACTCTCCGAAAAATCAAACTACCCATTCCCTCATCAGCAGTCTCAGATACCGGAATTAACACGCCACAATCAACTAATGCGCTCTTAATCAAAGCTCTCAATTCATTTTTTCGCAACCGCTTATCAATTCCCGTTAATTTATAGTTATCAACAATGTCCCACAGCTGTAGCTTCGAACACAAATTTAACTTCTCCTCTGATGAAGAACTTACAAAATCTTCCAACGAAATCATCCCAAAGAATAAACTTACCCAAATGCAGTACTAATAAATACTTACGACTTACATCTAAACTTCGGACATAAGCAATCGGCTCATAATCAAATATCCCCCTAACTAACCCACATTTCCCACTAACTAAACTTACCTAACTCTTCTGTGTTTTCCTAAGAGTCAAGCCTCTTTAAGCAGCTAATACCGCTGGTGCACAGCTGAACTGTCGGCTCAGAAATGCAACAACGGCCGTGCACTTAACCCAGGAAAACACCAAAAAAATTAAAAAAACAATAACCTCTCCGGGGATCTCCAAAACATATTATGAGCTGAACTTACCTGTCCGAAGCCAAATGAATGCTCTGCTCTGCCAAAACATGCACCTAATTCTCCTTAACAATTACCGGTCCGCATGCCTCTCAATAAAACGAGCCCCCATATGTTACAACCGGCTCAAAGTTGCAACATTAGAGAGACAATACGGACCAGGTAAATTGAAAAGAGAAATAATTTATTAACAAAACGTATAATTAACAAAAGTATTTAAAGCAATCAAAGTCAGTATAGGTGAAAGTCAGTAGTGAAAAGCATGTGTATGGAAGTGTACTGAGCTCATGATCCAAACACAAAAATAAATCAAAAGCGCCAAGCAGAGACGTCCGGCTAATCGACCTCTCCCAGACAGAATGCCGGACACCTTATAAACACCACGAGATGAGTCTCAGGTGGGATGACCCACTCACCAATCTGCAATCATCACGCAGAATCTGTAAATAACAAACACGCATACAAACAGGTCCCACATGGGACCTAACATAAGCTAACTGTAAAAGCTAAAGTCTCCCTTTGCATTGAACTTTGAGCATCTTACATTCAGAGCTTTAGTTTATGTTCACACAGCTACAGTACATTACACATCAACTAAAGATTAAAATATGATATTGTAGTGGACCAGCCCTTAAAAATGATGCCAGAACACAACTGATGGTAAGTTAACGCAACATGGACACAGGCTGAAGTTATAAAACTAAATTAAAATTACAGATTAATATTCCCTATATTGCAGAAGCCTTCTTTTTTTCAGATTTTTCCTTATTTATAATGTGAAACACTGAACCCCGATCATCTATTTACACCGGTCTGAAGTTATCAAACCAATCGTCCCGGCTTTGTGTTTCCGACTATTCCTTTAATATGTTTTAGAGTATATTCTATTTAAATGTACATTTATTTTGCACAATATTTTGCATTCTCTATGTCAGCTTTTTTTCTGGGTAAAAATTGTTCTTCGGTGGTGTCTGAATATATTATTGAATTTAAATAATATTAAAAGTTAAATTTGATGCATCTCATTGTAATGAGGCAACAAACACACTGACTTTAAGTGTTTAATGCACATTTATGCATTGTGTCATATCGCTTAGGTCTTAGTATCATTATCTGAAATAAATGGATGCCAATAAACATCTATGTAAGGAGAGGTTGACTTTAATTATATGTTTATACTTCAAAATACAACTCTAAATACATCTTAGGTTGTCCCTTTTGTCAAGTTTAATTATAATTTAGCCTATATTTCATAAACAACACAACTCAGGAGCAAACTAGTTTACTCTGCAGGTTTATATTAGATATCTCCCTCACTCACTCTAACAAAAAATGTATGTGTAAGAAGAAAAAAAAAAAAAAAAAATATATATATATATATATATATATATATATATATATATATTATATATATTATATATATAGAGCATATATATATGAAATGTATATAAATATGTAAATAGTGTGGGAATAAATAACATACTTAATACTTAAAATAATAGAATACTTTCCAGTTGCTTTAAAATAACCACGTAGAAAAGACTTGGAAAAAAACTATTTTATTGGATAACTTTATCCTAACAGAAACACATTTAGCTGTAAAATAACAATGAAAATGTAAATTCCTTATTGACATGGTACACTGGCCTTTAATGAATAAAAAAGACAACATAATAAATGATAAAATGTAGATAAATCGATAGATGAGTAAATGAAATAAGAACAACAAACAATGTAACTGACGTAAAATGTGAAACTGGCAATGTACAAACTCCAAGTTAAATTAGGCATTTCCAAGTTTCAAGTTTGGTCCTGAAGAGTTTAATTTCAACCTTGTTTCTACAGTGCGGTAAAATTCAGTACATTACATACCGGTAGTCATTTCTGTTTCCACTGTCAGAAGTACCAATAAACCAAACTGTACCGTACCACTTTTAAGGCTGATTTATACTTCTGCGTCAAACACCGGCGTATGCTACGGCGCTGACGCATAGCCCTTCGCCGTGGCCGTCGCCGTCACTGACGTGCACCTCTCAAAATTGGAACTACACGTCGCAACGACGCGTAGCGCAAGCTCTGTGATTAGTCGGCTTGCTAGCGCAGACGAGTCTGGGCGGGACCGAGAGCCGCGCGAATAGCGCGAGCGATTGTTTACAAGTGTGGAGTCCCGTGAAGAAGCTCCGGATGGAAAGTTTTGTTCTGTGTTTACCTCATGGTTAAAGTTGTTGCACGTCCGCCAGTTCCTGCCTCAAAATGAGCGAGTTTGAGCCACTTGTACATCCAGGAAGTGTTCAGAATAGCAAAACAGAAGCGAAGAAACTCGACACAGAGGAACATTTACACCTCACTGCCCACTAGTGTTTCGGAAGTGTTAATGCAGACCAACAAAGACAGCGTGCAGAAGTATAAATGCACAGCCACGCGCGTTGCCTGCGCCGTGAGTTGCGCCGGTCACTTGACGCAGAAGTATAAACCAGGCTTTAGAGACCCTATTATACTGTAAGGGTAACTACCATAACAGTACAGTACTAAATGTGGAGATAGACTTGCTGCTGAATGCTAATTGGTTCACAGAGAATTGTCACTTGAAAAATTACACTGTAATAATAAAATAAATCTATGCGTAGCAATGAATCATCATCGACCCAAGCTAATCATCTTATAACAAACAGCTACATGCCAAGAAAAAACAAACAGGATCTTCTGTATTGCTGCTTTTCCACTATCATGCCAAATCGTTCCGAGAACAGTCAGATACAGTTACCGTTGTGTTTCCACATGAGCCTGGAATGGCGAGCATGATTATAAACTGCAATATCACATCTGAAACACTAGCTGGCATTGGGGTTTCCATGTTCCTCTATGTCATGTTTCTTTGCAGGTGTTTCGTTTATGCAGGAAATACCTGTAATGCTACCTTAATGTACATGTAGCTAAAACGCACTCATTTAGAGGCGGGAACCAACGGATGTTCAACAAATTTAATCATAAGGTAAACAAAAATCTATCCAGAGCTCCTCCACAGAATTCGACACTTTTAAAACACTCACTCCAACAGGTTGCTCTTCTCCCAAACTTCTCGGCCACACCCACACTTATCAAAGCCACCAAGTGTCCAATCACAGATCTTGCGCTGTGCATCATTGCGACGGGTAGTTACATTTTTTTTGAAAGCTAAGTGCACGGCAAAGGGAATGCGACTGGGCAAAGGCTGCGCCTAACCATCATGTGCACTTGACACAAAAGTATAATTCAGTCTTTATATTCAATCCAACCATGGTTAATTGAGCACTTGAGTGCATGATGTCGCCATTGTGTTGCCTGGCTGCCAGTTTCTCCATATCTGGAAAGGCAGAAGAAAGCTATTTATTTGTTTCTTATTGAACAAAGCAAATACTAGAAAAAAAGGTGTCACAAAACACAGAAATATAAGACCATCGACCATATTACTTATATCATGTTATTTACATTACATTAAAGTTACCAAGGCAGTGACTGGCACGTTTGTATTACATTTCAGAAAGCGTCATTTGATCAGCATCAGAGTGAAAAATAAAACTGTTTCTGTGTTAACTGGCCTGATCAGCATGGAATGAAATAGTTACGCAAAGAGAAACATTTGGCCTGATAGTGGAAAAGTGGCTTATGTCCTCTAATGTTGTTTATAGGTCTGTTCACCTGTTACATCTGAATATGTAGAAAGTATTAGGGGCGTAACATTTTCTGTTTATTTACATGCGCTTGTCACACATCTGAATTTATGAACTTGATATGTAAACAGCTTCTTTAAGAGAGAATAATACAACTTTCTATCATACATCACACCTACCAAGTAAGTGTAATATTGGCAGTGAAAGTGCAAGCCTGATCAGACTGACCAATACAAACTGTGCTGTACTGAAGTGCTCAGTTAAATGATGGCTCTTTTGAACAATAGTTTTCTCTTAATTTTTTCTCTGTTCAACAGTCAGCTCAGTCAGTTCAAGAACCTTATGACTCAAAGTCAATGTCAAGTGCGACTGGTCCATTCATTGAGAATCCGATAAAGCAATTCACTCTTGTGCCAGATTCTTTATATATCTGGCTTCTGAACATCGGATCAACCATGATGCCAGCAACACTGATAAAGCCATCCCGAATTTCACCAGAAACTCTGTGAAGTTTTTCACTGTCTCTCACTTTTTTCCATATACTTTCATCATCCCATTGAGTTGCGATGTCCTGCTCTGGTGCTAAACAGCGGTTAATATCTCTCTGGGATATCAGGCCAGCATAACCCTCATATTTCCCTAGGTAAAAGTGGACTGCTGCTCTTTTTCCATTAGACACAGGATTCAGTTCATTGAAATATGATGCCTTCATTTGTGACAAAATTGCTGGCAATGCACCATGCCCTTCTTGTGATAACAATAAAATTGTGATGTAGTGCAATGGCAGGATCTCACTGAAAGGTGCGGGCTGTTTGTTTATTTGATTGAGTAATTTAAAAAGGTTTGGGTAAGGCATGATGAACTGAGATTCAGGTTTGATGTTGGCCAGAATTACATTGGCATATATAAAGTTGACCATGTCCATCAAGGGTTGATCCCTTTGTAATCTAGCAATGAAACGATACTGCTGGATGATCTCTTCAAGAGTTGATGCAGAGTTGTCCTGATATAAATGCTCCAGAAGACCTGTGTAGGAATCTCCCTTGTTCTTCTCCAGACATTGGCGTGTCTGCTCAATTTTAGCCATGCTATTTACGTGCTTGTTATTGACTAGCTCACTCCAATTGATCTCACAAAAGAGGGCAGTGTACTGTTGAAAGTACTTGGACATCCTGTGCATTGTCAGTTCTTTTTGTTTGTCTTTCTCTGCAAAAAATGGAACTAAATTGACAAGAAAATTGTCAAGAAAGATAAAATGTTTCTTCATCCTCTCTTTTAGTTGAAGAAGATATCTCTTATGCTTTAGCAATACCGGGATGTATGGCTTAAGTCTGGGATTCTTGCTGGGCAAATCTTCAATGGTAATTTTGCCCATGAGGACTTGACTAAGGCAGTTGTTGCGAGTGTCTTTTACAGCATACAGAGGTGTCTTTTGCAGCATTTCTGTGACTGTAACTGCAGTTTGAAGGTGACTGAGATGGCCAGCAGTGTTGTAAGTTTGGTAATTTTTATAACCCCTGTTAACCCTTCTTTTATCTAATTGATGCTTGGCCTCTTTGTCTGCAGTTTTTTGGGTTTCTTTGCAAGCTTCGGATGCCTTCTGAGCCAATGTAAGATACTCGTCAAGATTTTCTGGCTTGATGGGATTATCTTTGTCTTTGTAAACAGCATGTTTGAGCTCATGCATGCGTACCTGAAACTCTGTATCGCATATGTAGGAGTTCTCTGTTAATTGGCTTTTGGCCTTCTTTGCCCAGTACATGGCTTGAAGAAAGTCCTGTTTCTTAATGTAATAATACCTGGCAAGCAGCTGTGATATGTATGCATCTTTCTTGAGACACTTTTCTGCATTGTGTAGAATAATTTGTTGAGTTCCTGGGGTTTCTTTCATTATATCCTGGATAAGAGGAGAAAACAGAGAGCCTTCAACCTCAGCTGAATACTGCCTTTTCACCAGCATGTTGTGAACATCCTGCCTTAATTTTTGTTTTCCCAGAGTGTACTCGTAAAATAACTCTGTTGTAAGCAGAATGTTAGTGATTTCTGCCTTCGTCACTCCATGAGAAGCTGAAAGCTCCTGCAAGCATTGTTTAGCTATACATGAGTGAATCACTCGCACACCCTCAAAGTTAACTTTGGAATTAACTTTGCATCTCGTCAAAAGATTGGAAAACCTCTCAAATTCATCTTCGACTTTGTATAATCTAATTGCTACTTTTGGTTGCAGACCAAGGAACTCTTCACATGTAGAGACTGACAGCACTGCATTACTGCTGTAGACATGCAAGAGGACAAGAACAGCGAAAAGCTGAGCATGCTTGTGTTCAAAGTTAAAGTCCTTGAGGGTTTTTTTCACAACACTCTGAATATACTCAGAGGAGAAGTTGGTCATCAGAATCATGAACCCATAAAATGTTTTTGTGTTCATTTTGGTTTTCCTAAACTCCTTCAGCTTTTCCTCAAACAGTTCCTGTTCCTTTTTAGATAGTGTGTTTCCAATGAATACTGAATTATCAGTTCGATCTGTCAGTTCATGGGTTTCGACTCTCATGCAGTTGACAATTATCACTTGTGGAGACTTTGAAGAAATATTTTGCTTTTGACATTCCTCCTCAATTTGAAGTTTGAGTTTTTTGACATCAGAAATATCCTGGAAATCATCGATCAAGAGCAAAACTGGAAGTCGTTTGGGTTGCTCATTTGTCTCATATGTTAGTAGCTGCACTACCTGTTCTGCTGCCGCAGTGTAATCACCTGTTGAGTCCTTCAGCACTGCACAACGAAATTGTTTCTTGAGTGTCCACAGAACATGCATGGCCAGTGTAGTCCCACCACAGCCTGGAAGATGGAAGATGTTGAAAAACTCACACACTGTTTTTTGGCTGCATATGTCTGGAATAATAGTGTTGACAATGTAGTCAAACTTGTCTCGTTTGATGAACGGCATCGAGCCGGGCTGTTCTGAGAAGTAGAAGTTCCACCAAGACACTTTCCCTCCCTTATAAAAGATCTTTTCGTGATGTTGTTTGTCCTCATTACCTCCTTCACACTGGTTCACACAAAGAATACTCAGCATTTCTAAGGATTCCTCTATTTTCTTAGAGAGCACAACATTACTGCCCCCACCACAAGGCAGAAATCGGCTGGATTTGCGGTTTTCTGACCACAGGCTGAGCACGGTGCCATTGACTTCAGCAAAGCTCAGCTCATAAATACATCTCTTAGAGATGTCAGCTACATCAATGAGATCTTTCCAGTAGGTGTATGATGTTTTATTGTCAGTGATGCATAAGATTTGGTTCTCTCCCTTGAGCTCCTGTAAAAAGAATTTCAAGGTCTCAAGTAAAGGGTCTTTCCGATCATTCACCTGATTTAACAGCAGGAATACGGTAAGAAATTTCTTGTGAGGCAGCACGTCCCTTCTACACAGGAAAGAAATGACATCATGCACTGAGGATCCCTTCTCAATTAACCACTTATCAGCATCAGATGGGCTTTCATTATTAATTCCTCCATTACAGAAAACCCAACTTGTATTCTTGGTAAGTTTTAGCTTGTCTGCTATGTCCTCAACTGCACCTGTTATTTTATATTGAGTCGGTGAGTGAACGTTGGTTTTTCTCTCTTCAAACAGCTTATTTAAGCCATGTTCAGCAGATTCTGGATCAAAATCCAAAACAGCCACTAGATCCATGTGAAGAAGGAAGCGCAGGTTTTCCAGCTGAACTGGATGAGACTTGTTGGCCACCACAATGTACGATTTAAAGTGTGACCTGTCCAAAGATTGTGTCCCTCCTGTTATCATCTCACAGAGTTTAGAGCCTTGGACACTGGTTTTGACAACGGAAAGATGCTTTTCTTCAGCTTCCTTCCTTAGCTGGGATAAATGTGCCATGTTAGCAAGATAGTTCTCAACCTCCTTTAAGGAATCAGATGTAATGATATTCTTACTGCTGCTGCCATCTCTTATGAAGAAAGACTTGCTTTCATTGTTCTTCTTCGGCTCAGACATCTTGTCCTTATTTTTGAGGTTCTTGTTATTTTTTTCTAAATCATATGTGTTGAAATGTAGGTCTTGACAGACATTAGATGACGGCTCTATATCCACTTCAATAACATATTTTCCAGAGGACATCATATCAACTTTAAGAACTTCAACAAATCGAGGAGGTTTAATGCACATCTTTGCTATCTGAACATTCTTTTCCCATTTAAAATGTCTTTCAATTGCATGTGACTGTTGTACATCAAAATCATCTGTTTTTGGGATGTTAACACCAAGAATTTGTCCGTGTGGTTTGTCTGCTACTCCAAAGTGAATGGTGCCATTAGTGCGACTGTTCATACAAGCTGCTGCAAATCGAATCACCTCATAAGTGTATTTCTTCATTCTGTCCTCTTCTGTTGTGTTGGTGAAGCCTTTGAATTCATGACAGGGCTGAATGAGATCTATAGGACCAGTTTCGGTAACATCTAGCGTGGTGTTTTCTCTGTACCTGTGAGCTGTATTAAATCTGTTAAATGGGTAAGGCTTCATGCTACAAGACAAACTCGCCATGTCATTCTGCTGTTGAGTCTTTTGTTTCAGAAGATCTACGTTGTGAACAATCAGTTTTATTGCATTCATTGACAGGCTTAGTTGCCTGAAATCAGTCGCCTCCAAGAGGAGAAGAGTAGCCCCATTTATTCTCTCATTATACAAAAGGTCTGCATCTTCTCTGTCCACATTTATCTCAAGCATCCAAGCTCTCACATGGTATTTATTCCAGTCTTTGATGTCTTCTGGATGTTTAGATGAAACAGCTGTCTTGCCTTCATTTTTCTGAAAGAAAATTGATATCTAAATTTATGTGGCATTGAAACTTGATGCCTGCATTTTAAGGATTTACTATGTTATGGGGCATTAAGATGATTAGCATCACATTCAAAAATGGCCTTTCTAGTGCTACTTACCCCAGAATGACTTGAGGTGTCCATAAAGAAGCCAAAGACTCTTCTGAGCTGGTGCTTATGATAAGATAATTAAACATGCATCAAATCAATCATATCAAGTAAATCACAGTTTGTATATATATATATATATATATATATATATATATATATATATATATATATACATACATATATATATATATATATATATATATATATATATATATAATATATATATATATATATATATATATATATATATATATATATACACACACATATACATATACATATACTTTACAAATTACGTGTCTACTTTAAAAAAAAAAAAAAAAAAAAATATATATATATATATATATATATTTTTATTTTTTTTTTTTTTTTTAATTAGACACGTAATTTGTAAAGTTTTATGTCTTCATAAAGTTTTATGTTGTATTCATATTGTGTGTTATCTCCAGAATAAATAAAAAAAGAAAAAAGCTTGTGGCATCAACAGAGCTGTGAAGGGAGCGCTCTTTTGCGGTCTCACATTCACATGCAGGCATCTAAACGTGCACAAACACACCGTTTATCTTGACAAAAACTTTCAAAAACCTTTATTGGCTGCTGTGTCTTTAATATGGTGTAAAGATTATGATGTGTCATTGAAACATCAAGGAGGACGCAGCAAAGAAAAGTCACTTATAAATTAAAACTTTATTATTTTATCCAACAGCCTTACATTTAAAAGGGAAGCATAATGGCGATCATACGCAAAAAGACCCCAGCCTATAAGGCTAGATGTTTTCTTTCCCTCATTTGTTTATTTATTTGGCGCATGTACTTGAGCTTTGCAACAAGCGCTTTGGAGTGTTTTATGTCAACGTCTGAGTAGATTTATACACTGGGGATAGGGAGCTACTTAATAACTTTCTTTAAAATACAGACTGCACTTGTTACAAGACAACATACATTTACCTGCAATACTGAAGCTCAAGAACTTCCTGTGTTGAACAAATTGTTGTTTGTGCCTAGAGGAGCAGAATTCACAAAGATCATGTAAATAATAAATTTACATTTCATTTAAATCAACACTGCCTGCATTCAAATGAATGGGCGTGTTTGAATGCTGCCTTTGTCTCTATTACACACCTGTCTACACCACATCTTGACCAATTTTAGTGTTACTGTAGAAGCAAGTTTTCTTTATAGTTGCTTTAAATGAAGTGCTTCAAAAATTTACCAGCATAATAGCTCAGTGAGCAGACATAAGACTGTTCTTGTTCCTGTTTTTGCATTAGAAATGAGTAGCAGTGATAGATTGAGGAAACTTGTTGCCCTTTATAAATAAAATACCAATCGGCACTGCAGGCTTTTAAAATTTTCATTAAAATCTGAAGTACTGGGTAATGTGTGATTATAAGTAATCTGGCTCATGTAGTCATATTAAAAAAAAGTAATTAAATAATTTTAGTTAGATTGTAGTGTTCTTTAAATTCATAATTATAATTTAAAAATTATAAAATTAATTTAATTATAAATTTAAAATAATAAAAGTATTTAAAATAAATCATAATCTGTTAACTGCCGCATTTCTTTTTGTGTATGACATACCTAAAATATTCACAATTACCGTAAGTTATTTTAAACGTGTTAAGTCATCCATCTTTGATGTTTCATTCTAGAAATTCTACTTTGCGCCATATAGTTAATCCTTTATATTCATAATTTAAAATGACCATGGAAATGTCCTAGGGGTATAAAGACCATGTCATTGCTATTTTCATATTTTTGTTTTCTTAATGTAAAGTTATCTTCCCTAGATTGTCTATCTGCCCACTGTTTAGATCTTAAATAACCCAATCATAAAATCACTTACAAATCTAGCATATGAGATATCATCGTTATGTTCAGCTCTTTTGTGGAATAGTTACTGTGATCTTACCTCACTCAGAGACACATTAGGAAAGCTCCCTCTTGTAGTGGTGATAACAGCAGTGCAGTGATGCACTGATCTGAATTATCCACAAACATATTTCATCCTGTTGCCTGACTCCACCCTCTGTTGCCTCCACCTGAATATGTGTACTAGGAAGTGGACTCCGCACTGCCCCATGTATGATGTTAGTAGTTAGTAGACTAAAATAATTTGTAATATTTGCTCCTGTACCCTGTTTTAAAGTGGTAATTCACCTACAGATTAATTTTTACTCCTCCTCAAGTGGTACCAAACTTATTTGAGTTTCTTTCTTCTGTTGAACACAAAAGAAGATATTTTGATGAAAGCTGGAAACCTGTTACCATTGACTTCCACAGTATTTGTTTTTCCTACTATGTAAGTCAGTGGTTGTAGTTTTTTTAACTTTAAAAACTTTTTTTAAACTTTTTTTTTTTTACATTTTCTTCAACAGAAGAAAGAAACTCAAAGGTTTAAAAGTGAGTAAATTAAAGATTTGAGGTGAACTATTGCTTGGTGTAAGTCAACACATATTTCGGGTACTTCGGGTACTCAATGCTAAGTAGAGGTATGACTTAAACTTTTTGTCATTGATAACCTTATGTTTTGTAATAGAGAAAAAAAAAAAAGTAGAATGACCTCTCTCCAGTCCTGAAATGTTTTATATACTGCACATAAATGTTTTTGTTTTGATGAAAGATTTTGTATTACTAAGATTTGTAGTTGATCTGAATTACTTTACTTTACTTACTCAACTCTGGGAGTAAGAAATGATTTTATGTAAATATATATATATATATATATATATATATATATATATATATATATATATATATATATATATATATATATATATATATACACACACATACATACATACATACATGCATACATACATACATACATATATATGCATACATACATACATACATACATACATATATATATACTTACATACATACATACATACATACACACAGACACACACACACACACACACACACACACACACACACACACACACACACACACACACACACACACACACACACACACACACACACACACACACACACACACACACACAGGGCGGGGGGCTAATAATTCTGACTTGTGTGTGTGTGTATATATATAAAGTTGAAAGTGAAGTCAGAATTATTAGCCACCTTGAATTATTTGCCCCCCTGTTTATTCTCTCCCCCAACCCCCCCATCCCCACCCCACCACCATTTTCTGTTTAATAGAGATTTTTTCAACACATTTCTAAACATAATAGTTTTAATAACTCATTTCTAATAATAGATTTATTTGATCTTTTAGCTTAAGGTGACATTTAAAGGCTTAACTTGGTTAATTAGGTTAACTAGGCAGGTTAGGGTAATAAGGCAAGTTATTGTACAACGATGGTTTGTTCCATAGACTATTGAAAAAAAAAAGCTAAAATTGGCTAATAATTTTGACATTAAAATTATTTTTAAAAAAAGTTTTCAACTGCTTTTATTCTAGCTGAAATAAAACAAATAAGACTTTCTCCAGACGAAAAAAATATTATCAGACATACTGTGAAAATGTCCTTGCTCTGTTAAACGTCATTTAGGAAATATAAAAAAAATAAAAATAAAATTCAAAGGAGAGCTAATAATTCTGACTTCAACTATATATATTTATATATCCCAGAGATGGGTTGCGGCTGGAAGGGCATCCGCTGCGTAAAAACTTGCTGGATAAGTTGGCGGTTCGTTCCGCTGTGGCGACCCCGGATTAATAAAGCGACTAAGCCGACAAGAAAATGAATGAATGAATATATATATTTTTTTTTATTTTTTTTTTTATTATATATATATATATGATTATGAAATGCAATTGTATATCAGACACATACCTGGCATGTCTAGATGCAGAAGAATGAGTGTCAGTCAGAAAAAAAACTGATAAGAAATATATTTATTCGGTAACCTTTAACTTAAATACATTATGTCTTTCAACCACAAGGGCATAGATATATTCTGCTTGTTAACAGGGATTTATGACTTTTTTTGTTACACATATTACAGAAAAACAATGTACAGAAGTAAATAGAAAAAACAAGGGCAAAATGTTGCTTAAACATTATTCCCGAACAAATGGATAAACAGCAAAATACCAGTACCTCTTCTATTCATTACATATCCAAAGACCAAAAACACTGCCAAACAACTCAAAATACATGTAAAACACTTGTAAAAACCCAAACAAACAGTAGAAAACCCAGTTTAAGTGAAGTACAGCACAAAAGTCTCTCTTGAATTCAATGTTTTACTGGCAGTGACCAGTGTCTTAGTCACATCTCATGCAAATGCTAATATTGACCTTATTCTGCAATGCAGAAGTGCGCTTGTTTCGGTGATCGGTTTAGAACTTCCGACAAACAAGTGTGTTCATGACAATACAAAAAACTAAAAGTTATGCAATTACAAAATATCAGTTTGCAACATCAAGCTGCATAACAAGGTGTTTTTACAATTAAAACTTATGGAAGTGAATGAGACCATTAGTCTCAAGCCAATAGGGTTCCAAAGGCTCATCCTGCTCATATGGGAAGCATAAGGTTCACATCAAATCTGACATTTCTGCTAAAACAAAGCTTGCAAGCTTGCAATGTCAGTGATTAAACATTGCTTTATATTGGTATGTACAAGATATAAAAACGAGGCAAACTAAAATAACATGTCAAAACAATTAGAGACCTTTCAGTCCATGAGTCCCTTTGAGTTTTAATTGTATTAATGGAAATTAAGAAAGTTTAGTCTTTGTAGATATATTTGTAGATCTGTAGATCATTCTGTTGATTCTTATGAATTACAATATGTCAAGTGCCACTGGTCCATTCATTGAGAATCCAATGAAGAATGTCACACGGGCTCCAGATCCTTTGCGTAACTGAGTTACAAACATTGGATCAACATAAACCTTCACATCGGCAACCCAGATCAAATTGTTGCGAATTTCACCTGAAATTCTTTGAAGCTTCTTACTGTTTCTTACTGTCTTCCATATTTTTTCATTGTCCCACTGAGTTAAGATGTCCTCCCCTGGTCCTAAACAGCGGTTAATATCCCTATAGGAAAGTAGTCCACCATAACCTCTATCCTTTCCTAAGTAAAAGTGGACCGCTGCTCTCTTTCCATTAGATAGAGGTTTCAGCTCCTTTGAATATGATGCCTTCATTTGTGAGACAAATGTTGGCAAGTCACGGTGGGCTTCTTGCCATAATAACACAATTGAGATGTAGTACAATGGCAGAATCTCACTGAATGATCTTGGCCAAGTGATTAAATTCAGGAGCAATTTACGAAGGTCTTGGTAGGGCATGATGTACTGAGATTTAGGTTTGATGTTGGCTAGAATTACATTGGCATAAATAAAGTTGATAGTATCCATTACTTCTCTGTCCTCTGTTTTGGGATCCAGAAAGAAACGATACTGCTGGATGATCTCTTCAAGAGTTGATGAAGAATTTTCCTCATACAAGTATTCCAGAAGGCCAGTATATGTATCACCCCTGTTCTTCTCCAGACATTCATGAATCTGAGCTATTTTATTTGGTCGGTTCATAAACTCTTTGTTACGTAGCTCACTCCAATTGATTTTACAGAAGACTTCAGTATACTGTTGAAAATATTTGCAAACCTTGTGCTTGATTGCCTCTTTTTGTTTGTCTTTCCCGGCAAAAAAGGGAACCAAGTTGACAAAAAAGGTCTCAAGAAAAACAAAATCTTGCTTCATCATTGCTTTATGTTGAGTTAGAAAGTCGACATGCCTCCCCAGTACTTGGTAATATGGCTCACTCTCTGCATCAGTCGACTGTTTTGTGTTTGATCCCGCTAGCTCTGACTGTGATTTATACGGTGGTGTCTTTTGCAGGATTTCTATGACTGTAGCTGCAACTTGAAGTTCACAGAAATGGCCAGCAGTGTTGTAGGTAGTATAATCCTTTTGTCTTTGCAGTCGAGTAATGGCTTCTTTGTTTGCTGTTTGTTGTGTTTCTTTGCAAGCTTCTGTTGCCGTCTTAGCCAATGTAAGATATCTATCAAGACTGTTTGGGCTGATGGGATCATCTTTATCTTCGCGAAAAGCACATTTCAGCTCATTCACATATACCTGTGATACTGTATCACACATGTATGAGTTCTCCCCTGAAAGGTCTTTGGCTTTCTTTGCCCAATCCTTGGCCATACTAAAGTCTTGTTTCTTAATGTAATAGTACCTGGCGAGAAGCTGGGGTATTGCTACATCTTTTCTATAGCACTTTACTGCATTGAGAAGAACAGTTTCTTCCATCCCTGGTGTCTCTTTCATTATATCTTGGATAAGTGGAGAAAAAAGGGAGTCTTCAGCCTCAACTGAATTCTGCCTCCTCACCAACATGCTGTGAACATCCTGCATTAATTTTTGTTTTCCCAGAGTGTACTCGTAAAATAACTCTGTTGTAAGCAGAATGTTAGTGATTTCTGCCTTCGTCACTCCATGAGAAGCTGAAAGCTCCTTCAAGCAGTGTTGAGCTATACTTGAGTGAATCACCCGCACGCCCTCAAAGGAAATTTTATAATCAACCGGGCATTTTTTCAAAAGAGTGGAAAACTTCTTGAACCCATTTTCCACATTGCAGGATGTAGAGTCTGCTTTCGTTTCCAAACCAAGGAACTCTTCACATGTAGAGACTGACAGCACTGCATTCTTGCAGTAGACATGCAAGAGGACAAGAACTGCAAAAAGCTGAGCATGCTTGTGTTGGAGATTGAATCCAATGAGGGTGCTTTTTACAACACCCTGTATATACGTGGAAGAATAGTTGGACTTTAGAATCATGAATCCATAAAACGTTTTAGTGTTTCTGTTGGTCTTCTCAATCTCCTTTAGCTTTTCTTCAAACAGTTTCTGTTCCTTTTCAGATAAATTGTTTTCAATGAAAACTGTATCATCAGTTTGTTCGAAGGATTCAACTCTCATGCAGTTGACAATAACCACTTGAGGAGACTTTGAATAAATTTTTTGCCTCTGACATTCCTCCTCAATTTGAAGTTGGAATTTTTTGACATCAGATATATCTTGGAAGTCATCGATCATGAGCAAAACTGGAAGTCGTTTGGGTTCCTCATCTTTCTTATATGTTAGTAGCTGCACTACCTGTTCTGCTGCCGCAGTGTAATCATTTGTTGAGTCCTGCAACACAGCACAACGAAATTTATTCTTGAGTGTCCAGAGAACATGCATGGCCAGTGTAGTGGCACCACAGCCTGGAAGATGGAAGATGTTGAAAAATGCACAAGATCTTTCTAAATTGCATATATCTGGAATAATAGTGTTGATAATGTAGTCAAACTTGTCTCGTTTGATGAACGGCATTGAGCCGGGCTGTTCTGAGAAGTAGAAGTTCCACCAAGACACTTTCCCTCCCTTATAAAAGATTTCTTCATGATGTTGTTTGTCCTCATTTCCTCCTTCACACTGGTTCAAACAAAGAATACTCAGCATATCAAATGAGTCCTCATGTTCCAGCAAAACCTTACTAACACTAAAACCAGGCAGAAACCGTTTTGATTTGCGGTTCTCTGACCACAAACTAAGGATCGTGCCATTGACCTCAGCAAAACTAAGTTCATAAATGCATCTCCTAGAGATGTCAACTCTATAGCGGCCCTGAATGAGATCCTTCCAGTAGGTGTATGATGTTGCATTGTCACTGATGCATAAGATTTGGTTTCTTCCTTTAAGCTCCTGTAAAAACATATTGAAGGTCTCAAGCAAAGGGCCATTGGCATCACTTTCCTGATTTAATAGCAAGAATATGACAAGAAACTTTTTATGATGCAGCACATCTTTTCGGCACAGGAAAGAAACAACATCACGCACAGAGGATCCTTTTTCAGTCAACCAGTTATCAGCATCAGAGGGGCTTTCATTTTTAATTCCTCCATTACAAAAAACCCAACTTGTATTCTTGGTAAGTTTTAGCTTGTCTGCTATGTCCTCAACTACTCCTGTGAGTTTATACTCAGTTGGTAAATGATGATTTATTTTTTTCTTTTCAAATAATGTATTCAAGCCATGTTCAGCAGATTCTGGATCAAAATCCAAAACAGCCAGTAGGTCCATGTAAAGAAGGAAACTGAAGTTTTCCAGCTGAACTGGATGAGACTTGTTGGCCACCACAATGTACGATTCAAAGTGTGACCTGTCCAAAGATTGTGTCCCTCCTGTTATCATCTCACAGAGTTTAGAGCCTTGGACACTGGTTTTGACAACGGAAAGATGCTTTTCTTCAGCTTCCTTCCTTAGCTGGGATAAATGTTCCATGTTAGCAAGATATTTCTCATACTCCTTTGAGGAATCAGATGTTATGATATTCTTACTGCTGCTGCCATCTCTTATAAAGAAAGACTTGCTTTCATTTTTTTTCTTGCCTGTTGCTTTGGGCTCAGGCATCTTGTTTTTATTTTTGAGTTCTTGTTCCTCTTGGCTTTTTTCGACTTCATATGTGTTGAAATAAAGGTCTTGACAGACATTATAGGATGGCTCTATATCCACTTCAATAACACTTTTTCCAGAGGACATCATGTCAGCTCTGAGAACTTCAACAAATCGAGGAGGTTTAATGCACATCTTTGCTACCTGAACATTCTTTTCCAATTTAAAATGTTTTTCAATTGCATGTTTCCGTTGATTATCAAACTCATCTGTTTTTGGGATGTCAACTCCAAGAATTTGTCCGTGTGGATCGTCTGAAACTCCAAAGTGAATGGTGCCATTTGTGCGGCTGTTCATACAAGCTGCTGCAAATCGAATGAGTTCAAAAGTGTATTTTTGCCTTCTGTGCTTTTCTGTTGTGTTGGTGAAGCCTTTGAATTCATGACAGGGTTGAATAAGGTCTTTAGTACCAGTTTCAGTTACATCTAGAGTAGTGTTTTCTCTGTACCTGTGAGCTTCATTAAATCTATTAAAAGGGTAAGGCTTCAAGCTACTAGTATGAGTGACCACATTATTCTGCTGTTGAGTCTTTAGTTTCAGAAGACCTTTATTGTGAACAATCAGTATTATTGCATTCATTGACAGGCCTAGTTCCCTGAGATTAGGCTCCTTCAAAAGCAGAAGACAAGCTCCATTAATTTTCTGATTGTAAACAATATTTGCTTCTTCCTTGTCCACTTTTATCTCAATCATCCACTGTCTCACATGATCTGGAGCCCAATCTCTGATATCCACCGGAAGTTCAGATGAACCAGCAATCTCCTCATTATTCTGAAAGGATTAGTAAAACAAGCATATTTTAAATAGCTTTTTGTTTGTGTACATATGCTAATTCATTAAACATACTGATATTAAGTTTCCACAATGCTACATTGAATATTTTAAACTGATCATTTTAGGAAAAGACTAATGGTCATTAATAGTTTAGTGGACAGAAATAATAATGCACTCGTTATGCTATGTAATGACTAAACATGATGAACATAAAAAATCTTAATGCTACTCACTTCTAATTGCCTTGTCGTGTCCATTCTGGAATCAAGTGCCCTTTGGGTAAAAACATTTAAATACGTTATGTAAACAATATGTAATAATATAACACACAGTATATGGGAGACAAGAGATGGTTGTAATAAGGCCAAGTTGAACAACTAAAAATGAAGTAGAAATATATGTGATACAACACATATTTAATGGTATGTTAACCGAATTCCCTATGCAAATAAAGTGGTGTGAAAAAGTGTTTGCCCCTTACTGATTTATTATAATTTTGGATGTTTCACATACCTTAATGTTTCAGATTATAAAACTATTTTAAATATTAGTTAAAGATAATGCAAGTAAACTCTTCATACGGTTTTTAAATGAAGGTTTTTATTATTAAGGGAAAACAAAATACAAAACTACACAGCCCTGTGTGAAAAAAGTGTTTGCCCCCTAAAAGGGAGGATTTTTGGCCCTCTCATCTATGCAGAATTATTGTAATTTAGACACAATGGAGGGTTTTCGAGCATGAACCAAGATTTTAGCGTCATACCACAGCATCTCAATTGGATTCAGGTCAGGACTTTGACTAGGCCAATTCAGTCTTTATTTTGTTTTTGTATTTAGCCGGCAGGTAGTTCTCTGCAACTCTCACATGGTCGCCCACTGAAGCTAAGTAGGGCTGCGCCCGTTCGGTACCTGGATGCAAGACCACATGGGAAAGCTAGGTTGCTGCCGGAAGTGGTGTTAGTGAGGCCAGCAGGGGGCACTCAATCTGCGATCTTGCGATCTGTGTGGGTCCTAACGCCCCAGTATAGTGAGTGTCATCTTTCGGATGAGATGTTAAACCGAGGTCCTGACTTTCTGTGTTCATGAAAAATCCCAGGATGTCCTTGGAAAAAGAGTAGGGGTTTAACCCCGGCATCCTAGACAAATTTGCCCACTGGCCTCTGTCCATCATGGCTTCCTAACATCCCCATATCATAATTGACTTCATCACTCTGTCTCCTCTCCACCAATCAGTTGGGGTGTGGTGTGCGGTCTCGTGCAATATGGCTGCCGTTGCATCATCCAGGATGCTGCACACTGGTGGTGGATGAGGAGGTCTCATGTTATTTTTTACACCACATATAATGAGACTTATGCTGCGTTCACACCAAATCCATGTTTGCCCTTCAGCTATGAAGCTAGAGTCACTGGGCAGACAGAAGCCCTGCCCATCATGCGAATCCGCGTCTGTTCTGAAGTGAATTTGACATGCGAATGAAGCGGGATTTGACGCGCGAATGAAGCGGGGTTTGACACGCGAATGAAGCAAGTAACCTCAAATGTACACGCAGCTATTTATGCGCGAATATCGCGATTTATCCGCGCGTTCCACGTCTGGTGTGAACACAGCATTACACATTTCAAAAAGTTACATTTTGTTTGTCAGTCCACAGAGTATTTTACCCAAAGTCTTCAGGATCATCAAAATATTTTTAGACAAAATGAAGACAAGCCTTTGTTCTTTTTGCTCAGCAGTGGTTTTCATCTTGGAACTTCATTTGCCCAGTCTCTGTCTTATGGTGAAGTCATGAACACTCACCTTAACTGAGGCAAGTGAGGCTTGCAGTTCTTTGGATGTTGTTTTAACAGGATGTTGTTTAACAAACAACATATGTTTTAACACATTTTCACATAGGGCTATGTAGTTTTGTATTTTGTTTTGCCTTCATAAAAATGATGTGTTCACGTGTGTTATCTTTGACATATTTAATTTGTTTGATGATCTGAATCATTAAAGTGTGACAAATGTGCAAAAAAAAATAATTGTAGAAATTTGCATTTCCCACTACTGTAGATATGTGTTAAAAAGTGTTTTAACCACCCTGGTCTGCCCTAGATCATGCCTAATTATGAATATTGACAAAGAACTGAATAAATGCTAATTAGACTTACCACATCAAGGGGCAGATTTCATGAGTAGTTTATGTAGCAACTAGGACTTGTGGTCCTTTCTGGTAAAAACCAGGCATCGCAGCTGTCACACTGGAAAGAAACAAATTCAAACACATTAAACAAAAAAAGGGGGGAATAAATAAAACTTGTGTAACTATATATTATATTGACTGAGTATATATTTTCTTTTTATATATGATATTATAATATATTTAATCATTTATTAGAGGCTTTTATCCATGCAATGACAATACACATAAATAAATCAAAAGAATATGACAAATGCCAATTACTCTGTCAATACACAGAGTATTTTAACATAAATAAGTACAGAAAACAGAAAATAAAAAGTGTAATGTAAAAAAAGATGCATCATAATCAATTAATTGAAAATACATAGACACAAGAAGAAATCAACCAACAAAACCACAAAAATATCAAAGTGCTATGATTACAGATACATAGTACATAGCACAAGGAGTACGTTTTTAGTTTGTTTATTTTTGCCTATGCGTAAAGTAGGCTGATTAGAAAATAGAGAAAGTGGCAGTGCTGATGAAAAAAAGCAGCTTTCAGCAGTTTCTAAAAAAAAATGCTGAAGACATTTCATTCCACCAGCGGGGAAACATCATAGTGAAACAAACTTTCTAAACGACATGGTGATTTAGGAGATAGCACTGTTGCCTCACAGCAAGAAGGTTGCTGGTTCAAGTCACGGCTGACAAATATAATCTTAATCACTAAAACAAAGTGCCCATAATTAATAATGATTTAAGCTCAGATGCTGATTTTTTTCGCGTTCTCCCAACGTATAATTAATGTCAACATACCCATTCTTTAACAGTCAGCAACATCTGAGTTTCAAATTAAGTGAAGTGAGTCTTGTCAAGTAAGGTTTTTACCCATACTCGGAATTTAAACTAAACTAAATTTAAATAAATAAACAATTGTAAAATTTATTAGATACAAGCATAATTTATTACAATGTCACATGGTTCAAAAACACATGTGTCTATTTTATTTTACTCCATTGATTATGGAAGGTCATTTATGGAACAAAATCAATGCCAAAAGTCTTGAATTTAAAAGCTTGTTGAATAGCACAAACTGAACAAAAATAATACAACGTATTAACAAGTTCTTGCATTTTAATGACTTGAATTCCAGGGTTTGTTTTTTTACGTCCTGAAATTTAACATAGCTGTTTATTTAAGCTGTGAATATTTTAATGAAAAATATTTCAAACACGTTTTCATACTTAAAAATTCAACAATTCATATTCAATTTCCAGATTTCACTTACAAAATATTCAACACCCTTTAAAAATACAATGTATAATATTCAAAAGGTAATTTTCAGTTCACTTTATTTCAGTTCAAATATTCGCTTCCATAAATTCAGTGGCTCAAATTCAACTGTTAAAATTCAACATTACTTCTGGGAACTGCAGGAAAAGCAATAGATTGCAGATTGAAGATCTCCAGCTGCTCTAGCTTTCACCAGCAGGTGGAGATGGAATAATGTAAGATTTTTAACCCAGTAAACAGGCGAGGAAAAAGCTAATAAAGGCACAAAAGTAGTATTTAATATTAATATCAATGCCTTGGACATTATAAATGATAAAGTATGAGTAAAATGAGTAAATGAGGTTTTAGTTATCTATTTTTGCCCTTATGTAACGGAAGATAGCTGGTGATCACTTAAACCTCACTCCTTACACATTCTCTATCTTTATTAACTCTTTCTTCCATAGACGTAGAACTATAGCCTATAGTTCATCAACAACACAACTCAGGAGCAAACTAGTTTACTCTGCAGGTTTATATTAGATATCTCACTCACTCACTCTAACAAAAAATGTATGTATAAGAAATATATATATATATATATATATATATATATATATATATATATATGTATATATATACATATATATATATGTATATATGTAAATAGTGTGGGAATAAATAACATAATACTTTAAATAATAGAATACTTTCCAGTTGCTTTGAAATAACCACGTAGACAAGACTTTGAAAAAAACTATTTTATTGGATAACTTTATCCTAACAGAAACACATTTAGCAGTAAAATAACAATGAAAATGTAAATTCCTTATTGACATGGTACACTGGCCTTTAATGAAGAAAAAAGACAACATAATAAATAAGAATGTAGATAAATCGATTGATGAGTAAATGAAATAGGAACAACAAACAATGTAACTGACGTAAAATGTGGAACTGGCAATGTACAGACTCCAAGTCAAATTAGGCATTTCCAAGTTTTAAGTTTGGTCCTGAAGAGTTAAATTTCAACCTTGTTTCTACAGTGCGGTAAAATTCAGTACATTACATTCCGGTAGTCATTTCTGTTTCCACTGTCAGAAGTACCAATATACCAAACTGTACCGTACCACTTTTAGAGTCCCTTTTATACTGTAAGGGTAACTACCACAACAGTACAGTACTAAATGTGGAGATAGACTTGCTGCTGAAAGCCAATTGGTTTACAGAGAATTGTCACTTGAAAAATTTCACTGTAATAATAAAATAAAACTATGCGCAGCAATGAATTATCGTCGACCCAAGCTAATCATCTTATAACAAACAGCAACATGCCAAGAAAAAACAAACAGGATCTTCTGTATTGCTGCTTTTCCACTATCATGCCAAATTGTTCCGAGAACAGTAAGATACAGTTACCGTTGTGTTTCCACATGAGCCTGGAATGGCGAGCATGATTATAAACTGCAATATCACATCTGAAACACTAGATGGCATTGGGGTTTCTATGTTCCTCTATGTCAAGTTTCTTTGCAGGTGTTTTGTTTATGCAGGAAATACCTGTAATGCTACCTTAATGTACAAGTAGCTAAAACTCACTCATTTAGAGGCGGGAACCAACGGATGTTCAACAAATTTAATCATAAGGTAAACAAAAATCTATACGGAGCTCCTCCACAGAATTTGACGCTCACTCCAACAGGTTGCTCCTCTCCTAAACTTCTCGGCCACACCCACACTTGTCAAATTTAACAAGTGACCAATCACAGAGCTTGCGCTGTGCATCATTGCGATGGGTAGTTAAATTTTTTTTGAGAGCTAGGTGCACATTAGCGTCAACATCTTTCATGGCAAAGTATATGCGACTGGGCAAAGGCTGCACTTAACCATCATGTGCACTTGACACAAAAGTATAATTCAGTCTTTAAATTCAATCCGACCATGGTTAATTGAGCACTTGAGTGCATGATGTCGCCATTGTGTTGCCTGGCTGTCAGTTTCTCCATATCTGGATAGGCAGAAGAAAGCTATTTATTTGTTTCTTATTGAACGAAGCAAATACCAGAAAAAAAGGAGTCACAAAACACAGAAATGTAAGACCATCGACCATATTACTTATTTACATTACATTAAAGTTACCAAGGCAGTGACTGGCACATTTGTATTACATTTCAGAAAGCGTCATTTGATCAGCATCAGAGTGGAAAATAAAACTGTTTCTGTGTTAACTGGCCTGATCGGCATGGAATGAAATAGTTACGCAAAGAGAAACATTTGGCCTGATAGTGGAAAAGTGGCTTATGTCCTCTAATGTTGTTTATAGGTCTGTTCACCTGTTACATCTGAATATGTAGAAAGTATTAGGGGCGTAACATTTTCTGTTTATTTACATGCGCTTGTCACACATCTGAATTTATGAACTTGATATGTAAACAGCTTCTTTAAGAGAGAATAACACAACTTTCTATCATACATCACAACTACCAAGTAAGTTTAATATTGGCAGTGAAAATGCAAGCCTGATCAGACTGACCAATTCAAACTGTGCTGTACTGAAGTGCTCAGTTAAATCAAGGCTCTTTTGAACAATAGTTTTCTCTTAATTGTTTCTCTGTTCATCAGTCAGCTCAGTCAGTTCAAGAACCTTATGACTCAAAGTCAATGTCAAGTGCGACTGGTCCATTCATTGAGAATCCGATGAAGCAATTCACTCTTGTACCAGATTCTTTACATAACTGGCTTCTGAACATCGGTGTCACCGACTCTGTCCCAGTCTTTCCGCTTGCTGGCCAGCAGAGGCTGCCATCCCCGGACTTCTAGCATTACAATATCCACATAGACTGATTGTGCACACACCTGATTTGAATCCCGGTAATGACCCATGCTCCCTATTTAAGCCACACTCAAACCACAGTGCAGTGCGAAGTCTTGTTCAGCCACGGCCAACATTTCTGAGCGTTATTCCCTGCCTGATCTTCTGTGCATTACCCCGGACTGTTTCTGACTCTGAGTTGCCTTCTGCCTGCCCTCGACCCTCGCTTGTTACACGGACTCTGAACCACGCTGCCTGCCCTCGACCCACGCTTGTCATAAGGACTCTGAACCATGCCGCCTGCCAATGATCTATGCCTGGTAAATCATTCTGTGTCTGTCAGCCGCCAGCCTCACGATCTTTATTGATTGCTGTTGAAGTGAGTTCGCACTTTAGTGCGTGTTGGATGTTTATGTTTAAACTGTATCTAATAAATACTGCAAAATGGATCCCTCCGTGTCAGTCTCCACGTTACAGAAGACTTCGCCTAACATGGATCCCGCAGCCATGCAGGTCTTGTCCCACGAAGTCACAGCTCAAGCTCAGGTATTAACAACACATCAGCAACAGTTGACTCATTTAACCCAGCTCACTGATAAATTGGTAAAATCACTGCAAAACCTGCAAGCTACTTCCACAGCGCAACTCACTGCCAATTATTCTCCAAGTCAACACTCTGTTACACAGACCCAGACTGTTTCCGGTGTTCGTTTGGCATTCCCTGAAAAATTCTCAGGTAACCCAGCTAAGTGCAAAGGCTTTTTACTCCAGTGCAAACTGTTTATCGCTCAACAGCCCCATCTGTTTAAGGATGAAAATAGTAAAATTGCTTTTGTGTGTTTCCTGCTCACAGGAAAAGCATTAGACTGGGCTACTGCAGTTTGGCCAGACAACACCTCGATTTTTCCCTCATATAATGACTTTCTCAAACGTTTTTGCACTGTGTTCGACCATCCTGAAGAAGGTCGTAATGCTGGTGAGGAGCTTTTGTG